TATTTGAAAACTGGACCCGAACCCGGCAGAAAGACACAAACCCGACTGGACCCGATTGTCACATATTATTTCACACGAGTTGCGAAAAATAAAACTTTTTGTCTTACCTAATTTTAGTAGCCGTCGTCTCACTTCCTTGTACGTTACTGACTGACTGATGCATTAATCCACCGACAAGAAAGAAGTTCTTCTATCCATGTTATTTCTCTCGTTATTCCAAGCTCAATCCACTCATTATTTCAGCTTTAAAAGTCCACTTGGTGTCACGGTGATGGATGACAAATGCAACCTTGCACATGTACATTCTGACTCGAGTTAACTCGCATAATAACTTTAACTGTTTGCCCTTTTGAACTATAATAACGATTGCTTGTTGCTTGATCATATCTGTGCTCTCTGCTCTTCATTGAGTCTGAATCTGACCACCAAAACTTTAAGATTAGACAAGACGGTTCATTTATATTATTATAAACATTGGAGAAAATGTAAAGCGCGGTTTGGCGGAAGCTCTGCTTTGGTTGCCATAGAAACATGACACGCGCTTGAGATTGCACTCCAATCGCACGTGTATTACCAGCCCGTTCTCAGCGCGTGTTATATTAATGATAACGGGTGCGATAACGATTCAGACGGTTTTATATAGCGATATAAGCGATGACTTTTGTGTGTTAAAAGCGGAGGTTTTACCGAGCCAGCGCCAGGGGAAAAAGACCTCTATGTACAAAGCCTGGGTTGTGATCAACAAGCGGGAAGGCTACATCCATACTGCAAATTGCACCTGCATGGCAGGGTAACGTTAATTATTTATCATATTGGAGACGGATGCACTGTAGACTGATTGACTTGATGGTTATATTTCCCTAGAAAACTGTCACGACTAGGCTAATCACTTACCCAGCATCGTCACCTTTCCTCCAGGGTCATATTGCTAAACTAAACGTGTGTCTGTCATTTCACCAATTATCGCTGAGATGTGTGGAAATCGCGTCAGTGCGTGATGTAAAAAAAACTAAAAAAAAAATACATAAAACAAAAATCATAGTAACATGTTAGTATTTATCGTTAGTATTTATCGCAAGTTAGTATTTATCGACGCAACAAGTAGGCATGTTGACGAGAAATTCTCCGGTAACTTAGCTGGTTTAAACTATGGTTACAGCACGATGGAATGAACTTTTCTGACCCCAACATGCGCACTGCGCACCGCATTTTTTTCTGTGACGTCAACCGTGAAGGGGTCTATTCCTCTTCCATTTCATAGTTTGAGATAAGCATTAGTTCAAAGAGGAAAACAGCAGCTCGTGTGTCTGTTTATAAAGATTTACAGCCATTTCTCAACATAAGGTCAACAAAACAGTCCTCAATTTCAGTTACTTCCTGATCCAAAACCCAACATAAGGAAACTTCTTTCCTTCTTATGCTGATATGAATGCCAAACGCCAAAAAGCCAAAGCCAATAAATTAATAATGTAATCATTTGACGTTGGCTGTTTAAACATGCTCTGCCCTCAAAGGGGATAGTGATGTATTTTCATAGTGTGTTTTATAGTGTTTCATGGTGTTTGTCCTTTGAGCTTAACCATCACTGGGCCTTTAGGCTATAAAAGCATTATTATTTAATGAAAGAATTGTCTTGTGCTCACTGCTCAGGTTTTTTCAAGCGTCTTGGAGACATTGCGTTCTTCTGGATTTAGTCTGTTTCTGGATTTAGTCTGTTGGACTCGATGATGGTGAGATCAGATACATTTGTTATTACAATTAATGCGTGACAAAAAGACTGTTTGGAAATGTAAACTGATGTTTCCTACTGACACACTAAAGCAAAATATATAAATAACATGGCTTATATAAAAAAAAACATTTTTTTTTTAACTGGAATGTTGTTCCAGGATCAACAAAATATGTGTAGACTATATCATGTTGACCGAACCATCTCTATCTGACCATATTATTCCTCTTCCATTTCATAGTTTGAGATAAGCATTCGTTCAAAGAGGAAAACAGCAGCTCGTGTGTCTGTTTATAAAGATTTACAGCCATTTCTCAACATAAGGTCAACAAAACAGTCCTCAATTTCAGTTACTTCCTGATCCAAAACCCAACATAAGGAAACTTCTTTCCTTCTTATGCTGATAAATGCCAAACGCCAAAAAGCCAAAGCCAATAAATTAATAATGTAATCATTTGACGTTGGCTGTTTAAACATGCTCTGCCCTCAAAGGGGATAGTGATGTATTTTCATAGTGTGTTTTATAGTGTTTCATGGTGTTTGTCCTTTGAGCTTAACCATTACTGGGCCTTTAGGCTATAAAAGCATTATTATTTAATGAAAGAATTGTCTTGTGCTCACTGCTCAGGTTTTTTCAAGCGTCTTGGAGACATTGCGTTCTTCTGGATTTAGTCTGTTTCTGGATTTAGTCTGTTGGACTCGATGATGGTGAGATCAGATACAATTATTATTACAATTAATGCGTGACAAAAAGACTGTTTGGAAATGTAAACTGATGTTTCCTACTGACACACTAAAGCAAAATATATAAATAACATGGCTTATATAAAACAAAAAACATTTTTTTTTTTTTAACTGGAATGTTGTTCCAGGATCAACAAAATATGTGTAGGCTATATCATGTTGACCGAACCATCTCTATCTGACCATATTATTCCTCTTCCATTTCATAGTTTGAGATAAGCATTAGTTCAAAGAGGAAAACAGCAGCTTGTGTGTCTGTTTATAAAGATTTACAGCCATTTCTCAACATAAGGTCAACAAAACAGTCCTCAATTTCAGTTACTTCCTGATCCAAAACCCAACATAAGGAAACTTCTTTCCTTCTTATGCTGATAAATGCCAAACGCCAAAAAGCCAAAGCCAATAAATTAATAATGTAATCATTTGACGTTGGCTGTTTAAACATGCTCTGCCCTCAAAGGGGATAGTGATGTATTTTCATAGTGTGTTTTATAGTGTTTCATGGTGTTTGTCCTTTGAGCTTAACCATTACTGGGCCTTTAAGCTATAAAAGCATTATTATTTAATGAAAGAATTGTCTTGTGCTCACTGCTCAGGTTTTTTCAAGCGTCTTGGAGACATTGCGTTCTTCTGGATTTAGTCTGTTTCTGGATTTAGTCTGTTGGACTCGATGATGGTAAGATCAGATACAATTATTATTACAATTAATGCGTGACAAAAAGACTGTTTGGAAATGTAAACTGATGTTTCCTACTGACACACTAAAGCAAAATATATAAATAACATGGCTTATATAACTAATGTTTTGTTGAAAATACTAACTTGTCTAAGACTTTTGCACAACATTTCTTACATTATCACAGTTTATTTGCTAGAAAATGGTAATAAAATATCCAGAGTTTCAAATCAGTTGATGTTTCATTGGTTTGGCCATCCTTCTGTTAGACTGTCTTTGGTTGAATAGCTGTCAACTGTCAGCTGTTAAATTTAAAGAAGCATTTCACCCATTTCAACATTAATCTTTATTGAAAGTGGATCATATATGTAGTCGAAATGTAAAATAATTTTTTTGAATTTGGTGCCCTCTTGACCAAGAAAAGACAGAAAATAACCAAGGGGCGCATTTGTGTTAAAAGACTACAGGTCCCACAATGCACAGCTCCGCAAGCCACACCCAGTAATCCGGAACAGCGCTAACAGAGAATTCACTCTTCCGTCTACAAGGCTAACATTAGCTGTCACTGGAGTTTGAAATTCATTTTACACAAAATGTCTTGTTGGATGTGGCGAGCAGGACGATCGAGGGCGGGGGATGTAAGAGGACGGCGCATTGCGCGAGGCCGGTGGCGTGAGTGATAATGTTGCAATGTAAGACGATAGCACGAAAGACGAAAGAGCGAAAGCATAAAATGGGGAGTGACGACAGCAGATCGAGAGAGAAACAGGCCTGATTTTATGATGTTTTGTTTCTGTTGTGAGTAACATTACAGCAGTCGTCAATGAGGGGCTGCTGGCTTATACTTTCGTTTTGTATTTGTTCATTTTACTATTAAAATGTTTAAATGTTCGTCGGTTCCCGCCTCCTTCTTCCACAACAACAAACCCCATTCACGTTACATTGGCAAATTATTAGTGAATTACTCCTCGTTTGTATTTATTTCTGTTTGGTGAATTACTGCATGATACCTGGATGTTTAGTCAGGCGAAACTATCACAACACAAACGTCCGTGTCCTCGTCTGATTCAGAGATTTCCTCCAGGAGAAATTGCCATTGTTGAAATTCTCTGCAGCAGACAGTCCGTACGCCGTAGCACGCAGCGAGAGTACAGGCAACAGCAGGCCTCCGAGCTCGACCCAGTCCGGGCTTCTCGACCGCGACAGGCAGCCGCCTCCGGTTCCTCCATCAACCTCGGCTGCTCTTTACTATATTGCGACTCGTAAAGATAGCCGCGAGCAGCGGAACTTCAAAATCCTCTTCTTCCATATCATGTCTAGTTTCTTCCGTCATTGTCATAACTTACCAAAGCGCTTGTTAGCTTAGCTTCCAAACAAGATGGCTGATATTGATTCAGTATCTGCAAGTGAAGTCCCACCCACTGATCCGTAATAGGCCGGTGAGTGGGTCCCACACCCTGGAATAATATTGAGCTAATGTTTGTAGTCTAAAAGATTTTAATGAAATATGACTTCCTGCTTATCGTGACACAAAATGATGATTTTTACGTCCCGATAATCAGGAAGTAAAACGCTTGAATTCTTATTTCTCCCATCTCAGCGCAAAATAAGGGAATAAACCATGACCATTCAAAAATATGACTGGGTTTCTAAAGATACAAAGCTTAATGCAAATGGGTGAAGTGACCCTTTAAAAAAACACAAAAAAGCCATATTAATTTTTCTCATGCATTTATTTTAACAGCCTTATTAATAATATAACATGTTATGCATTATAGCAATAAGCTGCTCTATAACAATGAGTCAAAATGTTTATCAAGAATTTATTTAACTGCAGTTTTTTAACCCAAACAAGGTCCTTTTTGCACTTCTCACAATGTGTAATCTTTGTAAATGACCCACATCCTGTATATATTAAGCATCACAACCAGAAAGTTCTTAATGGTAAAGAAGACCAGCATTTGATGATAGACAGAAAAAAACAACATAACTGTAAGTCGGACAATAAAGAAGGGGCCGTCTTGAAGTAAAAAACATCCCACAATGTTCCATATATCTGTCCTGTACTTGGAGATGATAGAGTCATCCTGGCCTTCAGAATAATCCTCAGGTTTGGTGTTCACCACTGAGAGATGCCAATTAAAATCATTATAACAATGACTAAAATTAAATTGCAGTTTCTTGGCTATAGTTATTATTATGCATAATGTCATAACTAATGTGCCATATATGGTACAGACCTGAAAAATGCAAAGGAAATTGTAGCATACTCCATGTCCAAACTGCAAGAATAATGCACACAAAGACCAGACTGTTCTCCCTAGAACAAGAAATGGCATATGATGAAAAATTAATGACTAAGAAAATATAGACCTGATTGTCTCATACCTATAGAAGCTTGTTTCCTTATGTACATGGTTTTCACTGTGTTCTGTGACCTTTTTCTAGCGATTTCAAGTTTGTCTTGCAATTCAGATGTAATAACTCACAATTCGGACTTTTTTCTTGAAATTTTGAGGTTATCTCACAATTCTGAGTAAGATCTTTCAATTCATACTTTATAACTCACAATATGAGTGTGTATCTCATAATTCTGAGAAAAAAGTCATAATTGTAAAATATAAAATGGTTAATTGTGACTTTTAATATCACAATTCAAATTGTTTTGCTGTAATTGTGTTTATATCTTGCAATTCATACATTATAACTCATAATTGTGACTTTATATCTCATAATTCTAACTTTTTTTCTCACAAATTCCGAGTGTCATAAAGTCATAATTGTGGGATATAAGTAGGGATGTCCCGATCCGATCCACGGCATCGGTATCGCGCCGATACCGGCCCAGAACGCTAGATCGGAGATCGGAGGGGAGAAAAAAATATGAGCGATATCCAGTTTAGCGGCGCAGCCTGTCACGTGATGATTGTTGTGTTTACGCACACGCGCGCAGAGAATCACTCTCGCTTTGCGTGTCAAGAGCGAAACTGGCGCGCGTAAGGGCCGTTACATAGTCAACGCGAGCTACGCGAGAAAGCAACGCGAGTGACGCTAGCGACGCGCTTCCTTTCAAGTTTGAAGCGAAATTTACGCGCGTGACGCGCGTCAGAATCAAAATCCGTTGGCGGTCATTGTTTTTATGTCGACCGAGCATTCATCAAGAGAGTTACCGCTCTGTATTTACTCTGGATAGCAGAACAGCGGCGTGGGGATCATCGTCGCCGTATATTTGTGTCCACCGGACCCTTCGGAGCCGAACCGTTTGGCGAGTTTCACCATTTGCTCGCTCCAGGAGCTGCGCTGGATGACGGCCGCTGTCAGCGGTACTTCCGCCTGTCACGCGCCCAGTTTGATGACCTGTTGTCCCGCATCTGAGCGAGGATCACCCTCGCCCGGCCCCTCATCCATCTAATCTAGCTGTCATTTATTTTTGTTTTGATAATAAATAGAGCCAGCCTTCAAAAGTTATTAACCTGTCCTGTGATTTTTTTCTCTCTCTCACGTCCAGACACGAATTTATGCACATATGTTGATTGTCTTTACAACATAATACTATTTCTAGATATGGAATGAATAACATTCAATACAAAATGAACATGTCTCCATATAGAAATAATGTTTTAAGTGATGAAACATTTGCTTTGTTGTGCATAATCCCACCATGCATTTAGTCATATTAACAAAATAATTTATTGAAGCATCCAGACACTTCACCACGTGAGCAAGCAGCTAGGCTCCTGATTGGTTAACGCGGCGCGAATTCACGCCAAAGTTCAGCCAACTTGACGCGCGAATGAGGCGTATTCGCGTCTTCCGCGCCGCGCTCCACGCCTTTGCGCCGCAGGAATTTTTCTTGCATTGACTTAACATTGAAATCATTCGCGCCTGACGCCCTATACGCGTCCGGTGTGAACGTAGCATTAGTGCGTCGAAGTTGTGATAGCGCTGTCGGCTAACGCGAAATGCTACTATTTACATTCCATGGATGTTTATTCATATATACAATTGTTTTGGACTAAAAACTTCTTCAAATTGGATTGTATGGACGCTTTACAGTGAAACCAAACCATTTTTGTTGGAATGTGGACTAACAGATGGCTAATTGGTGAGTTTCTTCCAGTTTGTGTTGGTTTGTTTTGGCTGTTGGTGGTCTGACAAAGAGACAGATTGTGCCCGCTGTGTTGATTGTATCTTAAAATGGTTTACGTCGTTCGAATCACGAGTTTCTCAGCTTTCCAAAGATATGTATTATGTTTACTTTTGTGTTTGTTTTGTTTTGTCTTTCACAAAGTTAAACCTATAAACCACCCTGTGGGCCGTATACGGCACGTCGGACCACGAAAAAAAAAATATCGGACTAATATCGGTATCGGCAAAAGCCAAAGGTGCGGCATCGGTATCGGTATCGGAAGTGAAAAAGTGGTATCGGGACATCCCTAGATATAAGCTTGCAATTTCAAGTGAAATGATAAAAGTCTGAATTGTGAGATATAAACAAGCAAAATAAAAGTCAGAATTGGGAGTTTTTTATATATTTTTTATAACAAACTAATTTTGTATGGAAGTGGAAACAAGCCTCCACTGCGACCACATTGAATAATTGGTTGTGTTTTATTTTATTCTATTTTTATTTTCATTTAAATCTGGAAGTAAACAGGAAGATTGAATTATACTTTTTTAACAGAAACACATTGAAATGAATGGATATGAAAATGTGGACTATTTAGTCTTAAACAATACTTGCTTCACGTCAGGCAGCGTCTCACTGATGAACTCGAGGATATCAGCAGCTGTGCCCACAAAAATGAGCAACAACTGGGACATTTCATCTCTGGTGACTCCTCCACCGATTGGTAGCAGCCACTTCCCCACTATTAGCAGGATCAGGAGGATTTGGTGAAGGGCTAGGATCCAGTCATTGGCACAAACCGACGACAAGAATTTTAGTTGGTCCTAAAATAACACCACAAAGTCACTATTCAGCTAAGAGGTGTTCCCTTCTGGAAGAACTGAGGTCAGACTTCCATAAAGCATGTCCTGTATAAATCTCATAGGTGGAGGTGAGGCGACTTCTGAACAAATAACAGTAGTTTTTCTATAAGAACCATGTGCAACCAACACAGGTCTTGTTTGTGTTGAGGACTGAATCAACATTTGCATTTACATCACCCAAGCTAGTTCTGCTTTAAACTGAGTAAATAAACTATGCAAGAGAGAGATTTCTGTAGTCTATATTACCATGGAAAACGTCTGTAATGAGGGAAGTCATGATGGTATAAAAGACAGAGACTACCTGTAAATTCAAGGTTGCATTGGAAGAATTTCTCCTTTCACCAAAAAAGATGTTGATGCTCTCAGGTGAATCCAGTTTATTACACTGCAATGAGCAACATTTCATGCAAAACACATTATTTACATAGTGCATTTGCCATTGTATCAGACACTGACATTACAATACGGGTTTTAAGTTTTCGAAAAGGCAGAGTAAAATATGTTTGCAAAGCTAAAATGTATTTCTGTAAGTATTATATGTATCATTACTTTCCCTTGAGTATTACCGTTAAGTCTTCTGATCTGTTTTGCTGATGGTGCAATTCAAGGATCCATATGGTTGGGATAATACTTACGAGGAAAAACAATATTGCTGGAGAAAACCTAAGACCAGAGTTTGAGTCACTCAGTCATCTATATATTGTCAAAATTCATTCAAGTGTTTGAACTAAGTTATACTAGATTATATTTCAGGTTGTTGACCCCAAAAAAGGTTACATTTGGCTTTCGAAATTCTTATACATGCAAAAAGAAATGTTGACGTGTGAACTTACCATTTGTAATCCTTCCCTTTTCTTCTTCTCAGAGTTAAAATCATTTCAGCCACAAGAGGCAAATAGAGGATGGTTAGAAACCAGTATAAATTATTATTTTTCACCCATGTCACTCTCCATACACCGATGAGAGATACCAAAATAAATAATGCCCTGGTGACTACAACGCAGGTAAATTTGACAAGCATGATTTCTTTCAAAATACAGTTTGAGGCTGGCTGAGGTAATGTGAGGAAAGTTAAGGTTTTCACTCTGAGCTCCTTGATTCAAAGAAGCCGATTTTAAAGCAACACCTCCCACACACACACACCCCTCACACCATTTGGGCGGGACTTCTGTTTTGAATCTTTTTAACCATGTTATATTGAATCATTTACAAGAGAAATAAAAAGTGTGTGGGTTTATCCATTAGCTAATTTCATGTCACAATATGCGTCACAATTGTCATAATGTATTTTAATGCCTTAATTTTTTCGTATTTAGAGTGTGTATTTTTATAGATAGCCTAAAACTTTTATAATTCGGCTACTTTAAAACAGAAGGCTTGTGAAATTTAGGCCTAACTTTGCCCTATGCCAGCCAAGGCTAATATATTTTAAAGAAAAAAACTGTGAACATGAGCTGCGCAAAGAATGTAGGCTATATACGTATACACTTACCTAAAGGATTATTAGGAACACCTGTTCAATTTCTCATTAATGCAATTATCTAATCAACCAATCACATGGCAGTTGCTTCAATGCATTTAGGGGTATGGTCCTGGTCAAGACAATCTCCTGAACTCCAAACTGAATGTCAGAATGGGAAAGAAAAGAGATTTAAGCAATTTTGAGCATGGCATGGTTGTTGGTGCCAGACGGGCCAGTCTGCGTATTTCACAATCTGCTCAGTTACTGGGATTTTCACGTACAACCATTTCTAGGGTTTACAAAGAATGGTGTGAAAAGGGAAAAATATCCAGTATGCGGCAGTCCTGTGGGAGAAAATGCCTTGTTGATGCTAGAGGTCAGAGGAGAATGGGCAGACTGACTCAAGCTGATAGAAGAGCAACTTTGACTGAAATAACTACTCGTTACAACCGAGGTATGCAGCAAAGCATTTGTGAAGCCACAACACACACAACCTTCAGGCGGATAGGCTACAAGAGCAGAAGATCCTACCGGGTACCACTCATCTCCACTAGAAATAGGTAAAAGAGGCTACAATTTGCAAGAGCTCACCAAAATTGGACAGTTGAAGACTGGAAAAACATTGCTTGGTCTGATGAGTCTCGATTTCTGTTGAGACATTCAGATGGTAGAGTCAGAATTTGGTGTACACAATGAGAATATGGATCCATCATGCCTTGTTACCACTGTGCAGGCTGGTGGTGGTGGTGTAATGGTGTGGGGGATGTTTTCTTGGCACATTTTAGGCCCCTTAGTGCCAAATGGGCATCGTTTAAATGCCACGGCCTACCTGAGCATTGTTTCTGACCATGTCCATCCCTTTATGGCCACCATGTACCCATGCTCTGATGGCTACTTCCAGCAGGATAATGCACTATATGTCATAAAGCTCGAATTATTTCAAGTTGGTTTCTTGAACATGACGATGAGTTCATTGTAGTAAAATGGCCCCCACAGTCACCAGATCTCAACCCAATAGAGCATCTTTGGGATATGGTGGAACGGGAGCTGTCCTGGATGAGCATCCCACAAATCTCCACCAACTGCAAGATGCTATCCTATCAATATGGGCCAACATTTCTAAAGAATGCTTTCGACACCTTGTTGAATCAATGCTACATAGAATTAAGGCAGTTCTGAAAGCGAAAGGGGGTCAAACACAGTATTAGTATGGTGTTCCTAATAATCCTTTAGGTGAGTGAATATAATGTTAAGCACAATTCTACATTATATAAATTATAATACATTTCATATAGTTTATAGCCTAGCCCCAATTCATTTACATAGGGTGATCAACAGTCCTGTTTTCCCAGGACATGTCCTGTTTTGACGCCCTGTTCTGGCCGTCCTGGCTGTTTTTTTTTTGTAAAGTTAGGAAAATGTCCTGGTTTTCAAAAAACTCCTGGAAAAAGTTCAGCTCTACAATGGCCAAACAAGGAGGATGGGGAAGAAAAACAGGATAAAGAGTAAGAAAACTAAAGAGATATAGGCTAAATATATTTTGTTAGTTAGTTTTTGTATGTTTGTGAGAGCTATTTTTGCTCAATTTGGAGGTATTTCTTTTAGTTATTATTTTGCTAATACAGAAGAGACATTATTTCTATCATTATTTCATTCATTATTTTTGAAACGTGTCATAATAAAATGTTGAGTAACATCCGTGAAGCCTATCTGAAATTTTGTCTTGTAATATATAGGCTAACAATTTTCTATCCATACGAGGAGGCATAGGCAGCCTACTTTAAATGTTGAAATTAATAAGGCATCTTTGAGTAAACTTCGAGTATCATTTGAGTATCTGTTTGCCGGGCCGAGTGTCCTGGTTTTTGGTAATCAAAATATGCTAATCTATCCTACATTCACAAGCTACTTTCTCTTTGCTCTGGCGCGCCTGAACTCACTCGCCCCGCCCACCGCTGTTTCCTAAGCAACAGTATACAGCCAACATGTCTGGAAGAGAGATCCCACGAGAGAGCGGCAAATCGGCTGAAGAAGACTCAGAGAAAATAAAGAGAGGAGAAGAAACAGACAAAGATGATACTCGGATCAGTGTACGTAAACTAGGCTGCATGAGTTTGGATTTAGTCTAACTAAAGAGAGGAGAAGAAACAGACAAAGATGATACTCGGATCAGTGTACGTAAACTAGGCTGCATGAGTTTGGATTTAGTCTAACTGTGACTCACTGGGGTTTAGACTATAATTTAGGCCTATGATAAAATGAGGATCTGCAGATAACTGATTAAACATCCCTGCTTATCTAACGTTAAATAGAAATAAAACAAATACACTGAAACATGTACGGTAACGTTATTAACATTCACAAGAGTTGACATTGTACTAATGCTAATAAAGTTCATTTAAAAAAGTTATATTTATTTATATTATATTTATTTATAAAGTTATATTTATTATACTAAGAAAGTTAATTAAACTTTGAACTATTGTCATAGCTGTATATCCGTAGATCCGTACACAACCGATAGGCCTACTGTAGGCCTACAGTATAGTGAAAGTCAGTCAAGTCAAGTCAAAAACAAAATATTTTACTTACTTGTGGTGGGGTAAATTTCCGTACCCTGTTAAATGTATTATAAGGGTAAGCTTATTTTTAATTGTATTAAAGTGTATTTTCTGGAAAATGGTAACCTATTATCTCATATTCTAGGACATAAAGATATCTTTTCCTCAGTGGGAACCTCTAAAGCATGACCAAATGAATATCCTCCTCAACCTGCCTGTGGACCAAGTCCAGTTGTAAGTGTAATCATTAATCATTAGTAATCATTACAAAAATTAAGCATAAGTGTGTCACAGCTCTTTTGAACCATATCATCATTTGTCAGTCACTATAGTTAGTAAATCTCCTTATATAATTCACACTATATTCTATCTTACTTCAATATATTATATTATGGACTTTTATGATGTATTGTATTGTATTCCCTTGCATTTTCAGACAGTTTGAGGATATACTGAATTTCAAAAAACACCAAACATGTTTGAAAGAAGCTGCACAGTTGGAATATTTTGTCAGTGGATTTTGGTGGGCAAAAGAGATGAACTTCACATCTCAGCAAATCTCATTTATCATGGCACTTTTGCAGCAACTACTTGACAGCATAAAAAGTAAGTGGCGTTCTCTGAAATGAAATTTTGTTTAGTTTGAAATCCCGCCATGGTTGTTGCTTTAGGTTTACTATATATATATTTTTAATCCGCAGAGTGCATATCTTTTACCTCGTTTACATAATTATTTTAGAGTTCAGGCACAGAAAGTGTTTGCAAATAAACACAATGCATGTTGCTTTTTATTTCAGACAAACGGGCATCATTTGCTGATAATTTCAAGGCATTTTCCCAAACTGTGCTTGCCACTAGAAAGTCCCCATCAACAGAAGCCAAAGCCAGTTTTTTGTTCAACACAGATCAAATCAAAGCCATCACAGATTACTTCAAGACCAGGTTTGTTTCACAATGTCACATCCATCCTTTAATTACACTCCTAAATACACTATGATTTAATTGCTGAATATGGATCAGGTCATTCTCAACCCATCACACATTATTCATTGATGCAAGATGCTGCTTTGCCATTAGACAGTCAGCAACAAGCAAAATAAATTCCCTTCATGGCCTTCATAATTAAAGGGTAACTAAACACCAAAACAACTTTTTTTAGTTAATGATCTGTAAGAATGGAGCTTCATAAATGCTGTTCATTGATTCGAGTACATTTTTTGACAATTGAGTATAAAGTGTTTTGATTTTCAAATATATCCCAGATAGCAAACTGACATTGAATCAACGTGGAAATATGACATCGAAACAATGTTGATCTGACATTGTTTTGCTCATCGAATTAACGTTGAACCAACGTCAGATGCGTCATTCTTTCAAAACTAACGGAAAATCAACTTAAAATCAACGCGTTGTTTCAACGTTATGAAAGCAAACCAATTTTCGATTTCATTTAGCTTTGAAGAATGCCGCGTCTGACGTTGGTTCAACGTTAATTCGATGAGCAAATCAACGTTGTTTCAATGTCATGAGAGACGTCGTTTCCACGTTGATTCAATGTCAGTTTGCTGTCTGGGTATGGTGTAAAAACATCTGAGTGCTGCCCTCTTCAGGTTAAACGGAAAGCTCCTGCAGTACTTGCTGACGTAGTGAACTCTCAGACGCCACTCTGTCACGCCCTTGGTGCGAGCTCACCACGCCCTTGGCAGCCCCTGGTATAAAAGCATCTGGTTCCATCAAAACTACTGTAGGGAGTCAAGAGTTGGATTTATGAGTATTGAAAACGATCAGGATAGCATATATTAGCATCTAGTTAGCATAGCATTTATATAGTTATTTAGATTATTTTGAAAACAATCAGGATAGAGTATTGTTGCATCTATTTAGCATAGCATTATATAGATAATTTAGATTATTTTGTGCTCTAGTAGCATAGTACAGTTAGGATAGCTTAGTTAGCATAGATTTATCAGTGTTTAGTACATCACGATCAGGATAGTAACGGAATAGAGGTGGACATGGGCTTCTCCACACGCAGTGCCAAACACTGCTCCTCCTGCATGGACTCCTCCACCGCAGCGGCGTCTTGATGTGAGTGATCATGGATATTTTAATCACAATTTATGGTTAGGATAAAGTTAATCCTCTGGGGTCGACAAACAAGCCGGTGCATTTTGCTAGATTTTTCCACATAGCGGCAGAATATCAATATGAATATATGCCCACAGAGCGCGCGCTATGAGATCAACTCGACGACAAAACTCATCAGATGCCGGTCGCGATGCGGGAGTTAAGACCGCAGTTTGAGCCAGTGGCTCGAATGGATTTGGCCCTGTGTCTACATACAATTCACCCTCATCCACTTCAGGTGAAGGTGAGGGAGAAAAGTCCTCGACTTCAAATGGCCGCTCTGTTGCAAAGGCAGCTACTTGCGTCACTCCAGTCTCGCTCTATTTTAGAGTCTGACAGCAGCTGTCACTCACGGCGGGTCTCAGGTGCACGCCCCCTGGCCCCGCTGGGGTCTGCCCATTTTTTCAGCATTTTTCAAATATTGCTAGTGGGTGGAGTCGGGCTCTGACCAGGGGTTTAGTTACTCTTTAATGTTATGCATAATTCATACAGCAACGGATTGTGAAACATGCAGCCTACAGTGGTGAATAACAAGCTGCAGGGAAATCATCTGTCTTTTAGAAAGCAAAAATTGGAATGGAAGAAACACTGATGCACTGTGATAAAAAATTATATGCAATATGTGTATTATTGCTGAGCACGATTGATTTTTCTGCTTACCTGAAAGCTTCAGTAATGCTCCATTTACAAGACCTAAATTCAGACTGCTTTTTAGTGCTAGTCCATTTCCTTTACTAAGCATGTTCATTTAAAATATAAATGATTTTCTGTTTTTAAAAGAGTTATTATTCATAGTACATCACCTGCTTTCCCGCTCATAGCAATATGAGTTGGAATTATTGTCAAACACCTAAGCATTGACCATAATTGCAACATTACAAACTTTTTTTTGAATATTGTCAACAATTGTGTCAAAAAGTTGTCAAAAAGTTTGAATATTGTCAACAATTGTGACAGTATGCATATGTGTTTTCATGTATGCTTCTTTATGTGGACAGTCTTTTCCAGCACTACCAACTATATGAATTACTGTTCAGTCATAGAAGAGAGGAGCAACTCCTGAAAATAGAGGTAAGAATACATATAAACGTGTAAAATCATAATGCAGATATTAAATGATGTCATTATTTACTCACTTTCATGTCATTCCTAATCTAAATGTGTCAAAACGTGTTACACCTAGTTTTATGTTGGTGATGTCAGTGGTGCTGTTGTGTTTTATGATGCACCACAATGCACTAAATTTTAATGTGTGTATATTTGAATTGCACAAGTCAGATTTGATAGCTATTGCAGAATGGAACGTTCAGTGGGATTTTCAGTAAATACCACTCAATCCTCTGTTGTATGTCGCTTTGGATAAAAGCATCTGCTAAATGCATAAATGTAAATTTAAACTTACTTTAATCTGTTCCCCGCACAAAGCTTGAAATATTTAACATAAGTTGTATGGACTACTTTTATGATATAGGGTACTGTTCATGTCCATACATGTTGTGGGAAACACTTCAGTGTAAGGCTGTTCTTCTTGATAACTGAACATAAGATTTTTCAGAAGACATCATACATGCACTAAAACAATAAACACACTAAATCTGGAGCGAAGATCTCAAAGAAAGATCATTGGACACCACAACTTCTGTGCAAACTTGCCCAAACTTTTCTCCTTTCCTATATAAGCCCCCCTCTCCCTACCCCCTCTCCTTTCACCCTGATAGCTACAAAAGAAGGGAATGTTCAGTAGGATTTTCAGTAATAGTAAATATTTCAAATATTAAATTATGTCATTATTTACTCACTTTCATGTCATTCCTAATCTAAATGTGTCAAAACGTGTTACACCTAAGTTACTGTATATGTTATCGATGTCAATGGTTCTGTTGTGTTTTGTGATGCACCACGATGCACCAAATTTTAATGTGTGTATACCAATTGCACAAGTCAGATTTGATAACTATTGCAGAATGGAACATTCAGTGGGATTTTCAGTAAATAGTAAATACCACCCAATCCTCTGTTGTATGTCGCTTTGGATAAAAGTATCTGCTAAATGCATAAATGTAAACTTAAACTTAATTTTGATCTGTTTCCCGCACAAAGCTTGGAATATATAACACAAGTTGTATGGACTACTTTTATGATATAATAGAGTACTGTTCATGTCCATACATGTCTCCTCCATTGTGGGAAACACTTAAGTGAAGGCTGTAGTTCATGATAACTGAATACAAGATGTTTCACAAGACATCATGCATGCACAAAATCTGGAGTGAAGATCTCAAAGAAAGATCATAGGACACCACAACTTCTGTGCAAACTTTCCCAAACTTCTCTCCTTGCCCATATAAGTCCCCTACTCCCTCTCCTTCCATGCTACGAAAGAAGGGAATGTTAAAGGTATTGTAGGTAGAAATTTTATAAAACAACTTTTTTCAAAATTTGTTTAAACTTTCTGTATAGATCAATGCATAATTCAAATGCAAGAACTCTGAAAAAGAAAGTATAAAAATCGAGTGTCTGTAGACCTCTCACGACTGTTTTAAAGACAGCTCATTATTTCCATTCACTTCACCCCCTCCCTTCTGGGCTCCTTCCAAAGCCACGCCCCCAAAACACATGAACGCGCAAATCCGACAGCTGAGCTGAAGACGCATATTTACCTGAGAGGAAGGAGCGCAGTGCATGTAGTGACATAATGTCAGAATCACATGTAAACTTTATCATTATGAAGATAAACAAATAAAATCTATTTTAGTACTCACCATCAAGCTATTGGTAAAGTTTAAAATATATATTTATTGATTCGCTTAAAAGCTAGTTATCTATAAGGCAAAGCTAAAAACAGGTTGAACGATACACGTTTTTCCATTGCAATCATTTACACTGTGATGAAGATGAATTTTGTGTAAGATTCATAACATATATGGTGTTCGGCATGTAAGAGTTTCCATGATGAAAGCATTGTTGACTCTGATGAGGACAGTGGGGTTAAAAGCATTTATGAGTCTTCCCCTACCATCCTAGGAAAAAAAAAAAATATCGCTCCCCAGATGTAGATCTACATTTTGCTTGGTTTCGCTCGGACATTTAACGGCGTAGACATACACACATACTCGCGGATAGCTCAAAATGCGTATTATACTTGACTTGAAAGTGGCGTGTATGTTTACGCAAAAGTCATGTCATGTTACCGCATCGTCAGCTCGAGGACAGATCCGGGGTTGAGGGCGAAGCAGAGGAGGAGGTCGTGCAACTAGGGTCCGAGGAAGTAGAGGAGCACTTCTTGTGTCCTGTGTCAGGACCTGTGTCGAGTTTTGCATGTTTAAGCTCAAACAAGGGCATGTAAACAGGTGTGATCTGGATACGCACAAGTGGGCAGGTCCTGTGTGTCAAAAGGGTGGTTGTCATGGTTGCGAGAGATTGACAGTCACCTAAGCCAATCCTTTGTTTCGTCCAGGTTGGAAATAATGAGCTATGTTTAGTGTAGTCTAGAGTCGCTTGATTTTTATACTCTTTTTATCAGAGTACTTACATTTTAATTATGCATTGATATATACAGAAAGTTTAAACAAATTTGGAAAAAGTTTTTTTATTATAAAATTCTTACCCACAAGACCTTTAAGTAGGATTTTCAGTAAATAGTAAATACCAACTAATCGCTTTGGATAAAAGCATATGCTACATGCATACATGTTAATCTTAACTTAAATTTGATCTGTTCCATCTGAATTATTTGTTGCTATGGTTTCTGATTGAATTTGGCACCTGTTCAATTGCCTTGTACCTCCCCACTCCACCCACTGGCCTGCACTCACGTTGCACTTAACGTTCCTGGCTGGAGCATGCTTATGTCACACATGATAGAACTATTTGTTTTGAAGAAAGGCAGACTGCCAAATAGAATTATAATTTATAATTTTATAATTTACCACGCAGCAATTTTTACTTGGTTGTGCAGCACGTATTAGAAGATTAGAGGCAGCTGATGTTGATGGAGGAATTTGCTGACTTCTCATAAAATACAATAAACCTAAATATACTATATTTAATTAAATTGATTGAAAAGTGTACTGTCCAAGTAGTACCCAAGTACCCAAACTCAGAGTCCATCACAGACCCAGAACCAATGATAGCTGAGTGTGACCAGGTGTGTGAGGGAAGGTGATGTACTGTAACGGTCATGTTCTGTTCAGCTATCCTGTACCCCCTGTCCGCTTTCAAACATTTTCACCAACAAAATATGCTGCAAAGCCAACCCGATCTCACGACCAAGTCGTACGAATTCGACGAATGATTAAAAAGTGGCTAATTCGTAACAATTCATACGACCTCACTCGTACGAATTAATACGATTTTGCTAAATCGTACATATTTTACGAATTGGCCAATTCGTATGAATTCATACGAATGACCTACCCCTTACCCCGCCCCTAAACTTAACCATCACGTGGGTTTAGACAAATCGTACGAATTAGTACGAGTGAGGTCGTACGAATTAGTACGAATTAGCCACTTTTTAATCATGCGTCGAATTCGTACGAATTGGTCGTGAGATAGTGTTGGCAAAGCAGACCAAAATTCATGCTGATTGTCATAAGTCATGAAGACTTATGTGAGACTTATTAGAGAGAGTCAGAAGGCGAGTAACCCATAGAAAAGAGGCTGACCTTTATATTGTTATTTCTGTTTTATTAGAATTTTTGTTTTTATTGTTTTGAATTTGTCTTCTTTATTCTTTGTGAAGCACTTTTGATTTGAAAAAAGCGCAATATGAATAAAATGGATCATCATCATGTTTCTCAAATCAAATTGTTATCAGAGTCACACTGGATTATAGCTGCAGAACAGAAGCTGGAGTCTCCTTCATAATCTCCTTCACTTTTCTACTGATCCAACTATATCAGATGGATCACCGTCCAGTAGTCACAGCATTATGTTGTCACTCGTTGCCTAAGATCACTATTTATTATTGAAAATAAAAGGCTTCTTGACACTTAGTCGATACATATTGCTGTCAGGTTAAACGTTTTTTAGACCACAAAAATCTTTGCTTCAACACAACAGTGATGCGACATCAACATATTGCAAAATACAGTGCTTTGTTTGGTCTCAAACACCTGTTCAGTCATGTTCAGGGCTTGGCAAATTTCACATTTCCCAGAGTAAAATGTTGCATTGCATGATCAGCTAACTGTGCAGTGACCCACTTCTTATCTATTTATAAAGTAATCAGTTCTTTTCTCACAAAAGTCTGCATACTTCTTCAGGGTATTGAATCCTCTTATCTATCTATATATATATATATATATATATATATATATATATATATGAAGAGTTCAGATGCAAAAGCCTCTAAGTGCCATTTGACATTTTCTTCTAGAATGATAATTTTTATCAAGCTTGTATATTTAAGTTCAGTAATTTCACTTAAATGACAATTCATAGGTAATCTTCATCCGCATTTAAGTGAAATGAATGAACTTAAATATACAAGCTTGATAAAAATGATCATTCTAGAAGAAAATTTCAAATGGCATTTAGAGGCTTTTGCATCTGAACTCTTCATATATATATGTTAGTTAGTTGGTATGTACAAATATTTCTCCCAAATGTGCAACTTCTATTCTATGTAACTTTAGTTTTTAGATTGTAAACTAAAATCTGCTTAAGCTCAAGATTCACATTACACAATTTAGACTGGCCACCATACAATTTTTTACTCTACCACCTGTGTATTGATATTTAAAGCAGCTCTATGCTCAGAAAGGTATTTGTTGACTATGTAGAGTAAATTCCTTATGATTTCATCAGAGCACTGTTCATGCCCATACATGTCACTTATGTTGTGTTTAGTTTCCTGATAAATGAACATAAGCACTGTCACAAGAAATTAATGCATACACCAAACCAATAAACCCATTAATCTGGAGAGAAGATCTTAAAGAATGCAAACACACTGACACCTTGCCCACCTATGAGCCCACTCTCCCCTATTCCCTCTTCTTTCCACCTGGCTCAAGTCATTAAAAGTTCACTTTCTATATGAACGAATAGAGCATTCTGTCATCAATTACTCACTCTTGTGTCCTTCCAAACCTCCAAGACATTCACTCATCACTGAAACACAAATGATTATATCTAATGAAATTTGAAAGATTTGTGTCCATTTAAAATCTATTCACCACTTCGAATTGTTCAAAATCCATATGAATCGAGCTGTTTAATCATCTTCTGAAGAGACAAGATAAAGCAGATTTAATTTAGGTATTTACTTAGGTATACATTATATAAACATTGATCAGCTAACATCCATAATGCATACAAAATCAAATATGGTAAACAGAAGCTCAACTGTACTTGCTCAACCGTACTTGACATGTGAGAATGAACCTTATTGGTTCTTGCTCATCAAGCAAGAATGCTTGAGCTCAAATGTACGTTCGCTTATCGACGTACATTACCATATTGCATTATTGCCGCACCTCTTTACCTAGTCCATATGCTCTGTCTTTTCCCTGTATGCTCTGTTTAGTTTCTGTATAAAGCCCCTCCCTCCGAAAAAGCATATGTGCTCTGATTGGTCCGCTGGAACAGTGTGTTGTGATTGGTCAACCTCTTCGAGCGTGTTTTGGAAATGTCACTCCCCTTAGCATATCTGTTAGTTTTAACACACTACTAATGCAAATCAACCAGTTCTTGCCCCTTTTCTTTTTTGCGTAGGCCTTGGGTGGGGAATATTGTCACGTATTCGTATCTGGAAGAAAACACACGACTTAGCAAAGGTGTTTCAGGGAGTTCGGAAACAGTGCACACTGATATAGAAAATAACTCCATTTTGCTTTGTAACTTTGCAGACTTTTTTCATACTCAAAGAGCAACATTACACACTAAAGAAATTTGAGAGTGTAAAAAAGCATAATAGGTCCTCTTTAAATGAAGTGAACTTTAAGAGCAAGTAAAATACCTATTTACCATCACTTGGGCCAATGATTGGTCAAAAACATGGGTTGTCGCATTTCTGATTTGCTCATCCATAATTAACACGTAATGATCGCACTCTGACTTCACTTTCAAAATGTTAAGCCAGAGCAATATAACCAATTACATCAATATTTCTGTGTGCACGGTTCATATCTGAGGTCTGTAATACTGGAAGAGATTACATCAAAACTCAAGGCTCAGATTTGTTTAGTGTCTGAAATTGCTTTATGCTGTAGAATACAAATAATCATAGCTGCAGTTGAGCATCTTACAGTGAACATCAAATACAGAATCTAGGTCACTGATGTCTGGCACCGAACACCATGTAACAGAAGCATTTTTATTTGTCTTGAAAGGGACTTCAAAGCACATTTTGAATATGAATATACTTGTTTTTTCCCTTAAAATTGGATCCAGTTTATCGGATCAAGATGTTTTATGAATAAAACAAAGCAAAACAGGACAATAATCTACAGCCAGCATTCTAATTTTAGTCCTGTTAAAGGGATATTTCACCCAAAAATGAATATTCTGTAAGTAGTTACGCACCCTCATGTTCTTCCAACGCTGTAAAATGTTCATCTTCGGAACACAAATTATGGTATTTTTGATAAAATCTGAGAGCTGGATCACTCTTCCATAGGCTTCTTATGGGATTGAAACTAAGTCCGAGTGACTACAGTGGCTCAACCCTAAGTTTATCAAGCGACGAGAATACTTTTTGTGCACAAAAAAAAAAGAAGAAAATAACGACTTTATTCAACTTTTCATTTCCTTCTCTGTGGGCCTCGGGATTTCACGTATTGAAACTATACGCAAAGCTTCTACGTAAGTTGTACGTCACATGCATCACACTCATGGCCAATAGAGAGCCTACGTGTGACGTACAACACAGAAGCTTTGCGCAATATCCAGCTTCGATTTTTTTTAAAAAATATCTTAATTTGTATTCCGAAGATGATTGAAAGTCTTATGGGGTTGGAACAACATGAGGGTGAGTAATTACTGACAGAATTTTCATTTTTGGGTGAACTAACCCTTTAATATGACACTGTTGACATTAATTTGTTTATTGCTCGAGATGGAACACGCATGAATCATGTCATTGGGAATAATGGGAAACAATGCAGTAATAAAAGAGCGTTGTTCTACTCCCCTGCTTCAATTTGGAAGTGTAATTATGTTCAGTATACAAACCACAAGGCTCTTTGTTTTTGTTAGTGTTCTAGTTTTAGATTCTGGGTGAAGGGCATCCTGCCAAATGAACAGTAAAATGTTCCAGCCAAATGAAGAGAAAATGTAACTCAGCTGTTAATGCAGGCCTAAAGCTTTTCAGACACACCGCACAAAATAAAGCCGACTGTACACTGTCACTTATTAAGACTAATTACCAAATAAAGTTGGCTTTATTTTGTAATAAAGTGTACAATTTCCTATTTAAAGTTGCAAGAAATAATCCTGAGTGAGATTTTAATGGATTTTAAAAGGGTTTTTTGTTTCAGAAATGCATTGAGTTGATCAACCCAGCTGACTTTGCCGCCCCGTTGGAAGAGGGCATGCCCACTGATCTGTACTTCCATTATGTGGATCCCCCACGTGTCCAAACGCCTGAAAAGGTAAAATGTTGTCTTTTCCTTGCTGGAATAATATGCTATCCAAAATGTATTTGGCTCGCAGTGAAATGTTGTATTCTTTTTGTGGTTCGGATTTTGCTTGGAATTACCCTTTCAGAGAAGATGCGTTTCACATGTTTCTCATTTTCAGAGGAAACAAAAATCGGCTTCCAAGTATGACTAACCTTTTTCCCTAACAGACACTGCGCTGTACAGCTGGGGAACATAGACTGTACTGAGCAGAGGGAATCGTATTTTATAGCTGGAGGATTACATCATAGCTCAGTTTACATTTACATTTTTCTTCAGTCCCCCACGAGAATACTTTATTTTGCAACTATTTCTGTATTTGTACATTTTTAATGATTTACTGCAGTACAGAACATGGAAATTATGAAAACTGCGCCATTTAAATTACACTCACCTCTATTCGATTTTCCCACAGCCATGGAAAAGCAGGGATTTCCAGGACTGGAAAGAAGTCATGAAAATTAAAAATATAATAAAAGGCAATTTATGTCTATATTACCTTTCTGTAGTTGCCCAGCTTTCCTTTGCCGTCTCAAATCAACCCCTAATATGTAATTCCCACTTTTCATGATTCAATCAATTAACTGATATTAAAACACATGTTTTTATTGGACATATGTCAGATTGCTGGAGGAAATCGGTTAATATTTTAGAATATTTTGATCTAGAAGTTGCACTTTGTGTGTGCAATCTCTGCAAAATTATTATTTTTTATTTAAATAATCAAATTTTATCGTGGAAAACACTTGTGTGGGAACTCAACCGCAGAATCTCATTAGAATGCAGTGTTGTGTGCCGTTCAGAAAATGGCCACATGTAGGTGCTGTGCTTCTACTTATGGTTTTATCAGTTCTCCCTTTCCACATGAATGCTCAATAAATTTCCTCATTATTCTTTGCTGCTATGTTACATTTAAAGCTAAGAAAAATAAATCACTTTTAATGTCAATAACTAAAAGGATTAGCATTTAATGAATTATATGCCATATATTTAAAAAACTTTGATTTTCATTGCACTCATTAATTTTGTCTTGTAATGATTAACCTGGTTTTGCCATCACCATTTACATGTGGAAAGTCAGATGTGGAGAATGTGCTTAAAAGGATAGGTCAGCCAAAACTGTCATTTATTATTTACTCACCCTCCTGTCTTTCTAAACCTACATGCTGTTTTTTATGGAGACACAAAATAAGATGCTGCTCTTTTCTATACAAAGATTACACTTGTGTATGTAGGCCTGTCGCAATTATTGATTATATTATATTATATTATATTATATTATATTATATTATATTATATTATATTATATTATATTATATTATATTATATTATATTATATTATATTATACTATATTATATTATATTTAGGGCTGTCAAACGATTAATCGCGATCACATCCAAAATAAAAGTTTGTTTTTACATAATATATGTGGGTGCACTGTGTATAATTATTTTATATGTATAAATACACACATGCTTTTATATATTTAAGAAATATTTTCATGTATATACTGTATATAGATTTATATATAATTTATATTACATATATATATATATATATTATAAATAAATAATATATTTTTCTTAAATATACATGCATGTGTGCAAACTTTTATTTTGGATGCGATTAATCACGATTAATCATTTGACAGCCCTAAATATATTATTTAAATATATTATTTGTATTATTTGATATATTAAATATATCAAATTATTATATATTAAATATATTATTTGATATTATAAGTGCTGTCAAATAAAATTAACAACAAAAGTTTGTTTACTGTATACAATATGTGTGTACATATTTTATTAAATGTATTTATATTTATTATATACATACACATGTACACATATTATATAAACACAAACTTTTATGTTAAATGCGATTAATCATGAATTGACAGCACTAATTATAGTTTAGTTTAATCAGACTGCATTATATTATATTATATTATATTATATTATATTATATTATTATATGAATTTTCACAGCATTGCAGTAAATAATCTGGGCTTGTTATTATAATTTGTATTATCATATTTTCATTTTTTTTTTTTTATTGGACATATTGGGTTTACATTAGGCTTTTGTACATGACATGAATAAAACTATTAAATCTCAATTATTAGTATGATAGTTGAACATCAGCACAAAATTCAATTAAATGTGCTAAACGTGCTGTGTGAAAATGCTTAATAAAATCTGTTTCATTTCCACAGATGAAACATTTTGTGTTTGAAATGAGATGAAGGTGAATAAATAATGAAAGACTTTTCATTTATGAGTGAACTATATCTTTAAATGACCCTAGGGCACGGAAGAATCTCACGAGGAGAATATGGAAGAAGCCGGAAAAGCTGAGCTGGAAGAACGTCCCGAGAATCACGTGGGCTTCAGCGTGGAAGATGTTCAAGAGGTGTTGGGGGAAATGACCCAGGAGATGTTAGCAAAACTGCAGGTATACACCCTTGGGCAAACAGCAGTAACCTTCTATAACAAAAGCCTGTTTATAAGAAATAACACACTGATTACATCCAACACAAAGAGAGAGGGGAGAGAGACAGAGAACATTTTTCATTCGCCTTAGTCAGTGTTTGCACAAGAATTGCATTCATGGCTTGAGGACAGGAATATCACAGATAGCATTAATAAAGCATCTTAAAAGGCAAATAATGCAAAACAGACTATGTATCGGAACAGCATTTCTAAAAAAAATCACAGTTCCGCTCATATTCTCCCACAACCCTCCTCCCACAGCATGATTACGCCAAGAAAAGAAAAAAAACAATCCCAAATTAAAACCTGAATAACGCTCTCCTGCTTAATATCATTGGTATTCTCTGCATAACATAAAGTGCATTTGACAGCTGCTGGCACATATCGTGATTCATTTTACGCTAGACTTAAGGTGGAATTGAATTACCGTGACTGCAACGATTGCACAAAACAACCAGGGAGATTGCTAAATTGTGTCATCTCTATCACAAGTTTTTACACGCCACATGTTTCGGAGGTTTGAGAAGGAAAAGGTCGCCGTGGGCCGTGCTCAAAACCTGAACACGAGGGGCTAGAAAGACAGAAGTCATTTTTCACCTTGATGGGATTAATGATTATGGGGGTCATTCAATTCTCCTGCCATGTCCCATGAAGACCTCTGTCGTCTGTGTGACAAGCCTTTATTTCAAATGGCAAACTCTCTGTAATTTGAGAGCCCATTTGTAGTGGCTTGTGCGTGCATCTCACATCTGAGTGATACGTTTTAGAGCCGCCGCTATTTCCATCAATTCTCCCGGGCTTTTCCTCTACGTTTAATGTCAGAGGAAGGTCAATTACATAAATCACTTTGCTAAATATATCCTAATGCAAATTGATTGGTAAAAATCTTGCTGCTTCAATAGATTCTATTGCGTTGTTGTTGTTGTTTTTTATGCTAATTGTAACCAGTATGGCTCAGGGGAGCGTATGAAATCACTGTGAAGCGTGCTTAATATCACAGCCATACACGCTCAGTTTGAAGTGTTTGCTACATCCGTATTTATTCTTTTCCGTTTGCCTTTTTTCCCCTCCCTCGAATATTATTCTCGTTTCAAAAGTTCCCAGGAATGCCACGACTCTGCGGATCTCATCATACCTAATATGGTAGAAACACTGAAAATTACAAATGCTGGAATTACTGAGAATGACTTCCTTACCAATAACATTACCATTCCAGATGTGGACCAGAGGCATTCAATATGCCTTTTTGCTGTACGGGGAACTTCACTGCACATAATGTGTTGTGCACTAAGTACAATAATCAATGTATGTCACAAAACTTAAAAAAAAAAAGTAAAACAATGAAGCCTATTTTTAGGACTGTTTTGTATTTCTGTTATAATTTCTTTTTATTATATGGGGGTTTATTTACTTATATTGTAATATCCATTATTCTCAAAGGTGATTGTTATTACTGTAATACAATAATGGAATACAATAATACTATGGTAATAATCTATACAATAACATATACACTCACCTAAAGGATTATTAGGAACACCATACTAATAGTGTGTTTGACCACCTTTCGCCTTCAGAACTGCCTTAATTCTATGTGGCATTGATTCAACGAAGTGCTCAAAGCATTTTTTAGAAATGTTGGTCCATATTGATAGGATAGCATCTTGCAGTTGATGGAGATTTGTGGGATGCACATCTCATGTTGAGATCTGGTGACTGTGGGGGCCATTTTAGTACAGTAAACTCATTGTCATGTTCAAGAAATCAATTTGAAATGATTTGAGCTTTGTGACATGGTGCATTATCCTGCTGGAAGGAGCCATCAGAGCGATGGGTACATGGTGTTCATAAAGGGATGGACATGGTAAGAAACTGTCCAATTTTGGTGAGCTCTTGCAAATTGTAGCCTCTTTTTCCTATTTGTAGTGGAGATGAGTGGTACCCGGTGGGGTCTTCTACTGTTGTAGCCCATCCGCCTCAAGGTTGTGTGTGTTGTGGCTTCACAAATGCTTTGCTGCATACCTCAGTTGTAACGAGTGGTTATTTCAGTCAAAGTTTCTCTTCTATCAGCTGGAATCAGTCGGCCCATTCTCTCTAGCATCAAAAAGGTATTTTCGCCCACAGGACTGCCGCATGTTTTTCCCTTCTCACATCATTCTTTGTAAACCCTAGAAATGGTTGTGCATGTAAATCCCAGTAATTGAGCAGATTGTGAAATACTCAGACCGGCCCGTCTGGCGCCAACAACCATGCCATGCTCAAAATTGCTTAAATCACCTTTCTTTCCCATTCTGACATTTAGTTTGGAGTTCAGGACATTGTCTTGACCAGGACCACACCCCTAAATGCATTGAAGCAACTGCCATGTGATTAGTTGATTAGATAATTGCATTAATGAGAAATTGAACAGGTGTTCCTAATAATCCTTTAAGTGAGTGTATAGACCTTATGCACCAGAGAAACGTGGGCGCCGTCATCTTTAGAATATTGTCTTTGAACTCCCGGTTCTGTATATTTCTATGGCATCGCTGTCGAGGAGTAATTAGCTGGTGAAGTGGATTTACTTATTGTAGAGTTAACAAAAGTTATCATGAGCATTGTAATGTTTATATTATCATGATCATTCTAAAGCAGATGTCAAATGTCAAACGGGAATTTTTTTACGAGCAGTTCATTCATACCTATGCAAGATCGCTGTGGAAATACAGACCGGAAGTCAAAAGACAACGAGCGCAACGCTGAAAAGGGGCGGGGCTACATAAGGTCTATACACTCTAAAAAATGCTGGTTTGTTTTAACCCAATTTTGAGTAAAATATGGACAAACCCAGCCATTGGGTTAACAATGTAATTTAAAAATGTAACCAAATGGCTGGGTTTGTCCATATTTGACCCAAAATTGGGTTACAACAACCCAGCATTTTTTTAGAGTGTATATATATATATATACCGGTATATATATATATATATATATATATATATATATATATATATTCATTCTGTGAAATCGGCATTAATTAAAGGCCATCAAAAAAAAATACAATTTAGTATAAAAACAATCAAGCCAATTATAGGGCCGTTATATTTTGTTTTTTAATTTATTGTGTGTGTGTTTTAAATGTAAGGTTATGTATTCTCATTTCTGTATAATGTTTTTTGGCCATTTTATTCATGAGAATTTATTTATTTTCATTTTTCATTATCGTCATTATATTTTCATTAACATTACTGTAATATAAGAATATATACAATATTATACAATAATATGATTATAACAATAATATGCAATATATAATGTGCAAAATATACTACTATAATAAGTGGAATTTAGTTTAACAACAACCAATCCTATATTTCCTTTTTAATCAGCGTCAAATAAAGGGCATACAATTGTTTAAAAACATCTTTTCATTATAGTAATGAGATGTTTTTCCATTATTATAATGAGAATCATGGGTAGCAGATGTACTGAAATGTCATGAAAATAATTTCACAATGCAAAAAAAATGTAATAGTCCAATAGGCTTCATTTTTTTTTTTTTTTTTTGTAGTAAAATAGATTTTTCTTTTCATTTTGCTTTTGGGCTGAAATATGACCCCCACCCCATGATTCACTCATCTAACTGTAATCTCCACCCTGGATCAGTCCGACGTTTTTAAGGATGTACAAATCCTTGTGTGTTCAACAGGCCGACTTCACAGAGAAGCTGCGAGTTCATGAGGAGACCTACATCTCGAGGTTAGAACGACTTCAAAAACGCTCTTCCAAATAGCACTGATGAGACGCCAAGAGGATTTCCCAGCGGTATTTATTCATTCAAATCCTAAAATAAAACAGAATATGGCACTCGCGGTTCATACAGCCAAATGCTCTTAATGTACTGTCAAATTTATTCACTTTGGTTTCACTTACGTCCAGCAAAATTGCTTCATCAGTTTGTACGATGTTGATAATAGATTAAATAAATGACTTTTTGGTGACATGCTTGATTTATTCAACAAGATAAAATGATGAATATGAAATGCAGGATCATATTCATGGAAGTCAGAAAGGGAACAGAATATCTAATTAAGTTGTTTGTTGAAGGTTTTTTGTGGCACCTTTCCCATAAGTCATTAGCTGTCTGAAAGTAGCCCAGCGCTATGGCAACGCTGTGTAACTCAGCCTAAATAGCTGAGTTGCCATATAAAGTGATGTATTATTAAAGCTGAATAGTGACTTTTCCACTGCATTTGAGAAAACCCTCATACGACTATAAATATAACCGGCAGTATGAAAGAATGCTGATCATTTTCTATCTCCCTTCTCTTATTTGCCGAGCACGATTAGTTCACAAAGACATTCTGAAATGCCATTACAGATTATTATTGGTATTATAATAAGGATGAATTATCAATTTGGTTCATGTCATTCCTACAATATTATTAAAGGTCTAACAATACTTAGACTCAAACAGACTGATGAAAAAAACAGCTGGTTCATTTAATCAAAAAGCAATATCAAATTCCTGCAATATTCCTCCATGCCTGTGTGTTTTTTACAGCCTTTTGATTTAGCTCTTCATTAGCCTTTCAGCCCTCATGATGACATGTTGCGGTAAAGTTAGCTGCTTACACAGGATGCCTTGAGAACATGTTCAAACAGTTTGAGTGTTGCTTTGGAGCCAGTTTTTTTTTTCTTTTTCTCCTAAACTGATTGATAGAGTAATTCCTGAGCCAAGAGCTGGATGACCTTTCAGCACATTGACAACAACAGTCTCTCTTCTGTCCAATCCAGTACAAAAATGACTTCCTACTTGCTGTAGAAAAAAAAAAATGGGATAAGGTTTACTTTGAAACTGGTTTAACTCATAACTCATGTTTATAAGGTCATGTCATGTCAATGTGAGTGTACACCTAAAAGTTGACAAATGCTGCCAACCAATATTTAAATATGAAGAAAAAAACAAACTGAGAAATTGCAACATGAAAAGGCATATGCTAATTTATGTTTAATCAAATACTTTCCACCTGATATTACCTGTGGTGACTAAAAATTGCAAGTAGATCATGGTTGTAAGTTAACGTTAATGTAATGCGATTGGAAATTTAAAACAATAATTGATGCTCATTTGATTATATTGTTATATAGTATAGGGATAGTTCCTCATAGGTCCTCATTGACTTCCATAGTACAATCTTAACCTGATTATACATAATAAACCGACAATGCATGTGATCATGTATCGGAGTAAGGTCATAAACTGAACATTTTTGGCCCTTTCGCTGATTTCCATGTCTTTCTTTCTTCATTCGAAAAGAAATTAAGGTTTTTGATGAAAAAATTCCAGCATTTTTCTCCATATAATGCACTTCAGTGGGAACCAAACGGTTCAAGGTCCAAAAGACTGCAAACTGTTCAAAGGGCTTTAAACGATTCCAGACGATGAATAAGGGTCTTAACGATCGCTCATTGAATAAATAAATAACAAAGTTTAAGTTTTATAAGCTCAAATGGTCGCCTGCTCTGTTCTGTGACGCACGTTTGTGACTCTCCTGTTCGAACTTGTTTATCAAAATGAACTAATCTTTTTTATTGGAGTTATTTGGTTCATTCAATGAACAAAACGAACAAATTGACTCGGGAAAAGATTTTGATAAACGAGTTTGAACAGGAGAGTCACAAACGTGCGTCACAGAACAGAGCAAGGCGACCATTTGAGCTTATAAAACTTAAACTTTGTTATTTATTTATTAAATGAGCGATCGTTTCGCTGGATAAGACCCTTATTCATCGTCTGGAATCGTTTAAAGCCCTTTGAACAGTTTGCAGTTTGCACTGAAAGTGTCTTTTGGACCTTGAACCGTTTGGTTCCCACTGAAGTGCATTATATGGAGAAAAATCCTGGAATGTTTTCAGCAAAAACCTTAATTTCTTTTCGACTGAAGAAAGAAAGACATGGATATCTTGGATGACATGGGGGTGAGTAAATTATCAGCAAAAGTTTTTTTGAAAAGTGAACTACTCCTTTAAGCGCATCCAGACAGAGTGAGTGTTTTGCAGAATGGGAGAAGGCAACAGATTGCAAACTCAGACTCTTTCTTGACACAAAGAATGCTAAAAGTGTTCTGATCTCATGTAGCAGCTGCAGAAGAAGTGGTTTACAGTCAGAATGCTGCATCTGTAACGGCATGAGGAGAATACATGAGCTGTCGCTATACTCTTTTTCATTTTTCAATGGTTTATGTAACATCACAACCGACATGAACGAAATACGCAAAAGTCAGATACGCAAATTATTACGGTTTGACATCACTACTGGGAAATAACCTGATTTATTGATAAAGTTTTGTAAACACAGTTTACTTGCGTTGTCGGGTTATTGGTTTGCATGTAAACCCGGACAACGGGTTATTTTTAATAAGCTGATTTTTGTGAGCTGCCAGTTCTCGTGTGCATATAAACATGCTCAGTTGGTTTTTTTTTCCTATATTAGGGAAGTCAATGAGGACCAGCGATTGTTTGGTTTTCAACATTCTTCATAATACCTTCATTTATGTTCAAAAGATGAAAGAACTTTATGCAGGTTTAGAGCAACTTGAGGGTGAGTAAATAATGATATCATGTTCTTTTTCTTTTTTTAGGGGTACTATACCTTTAAATATGTAAAAATATGATAATTCGTGTCATTTGTCTTGTCAATTGTAAGGGCTGGGCAACGATTGATCGTGATTAATCGTATCCAAAATAAAAGTTTGTGTTTACATAATGTGTTTAGTGTGTATGATTATTTTGTATATATAAATACACACACATGCATGTATATATTCAAGAAATATTTGCATGTATATACTGTATATTTATTTATACCTCATTTATATTAAATATAAATATGAATATTTTATATATTAATAACACATTTTTTCTTAAATATATACATGCATGTGTGTGAATTTTTATATACAAAAAATTATACACAGCACACACACATATATAATGTAAACACAAACTTTTATTTTGGATGCGATTAATCGCGATTAATCATTGCCCAGCCGTAAATATATATATATATATATATATATATATATATATATATATATATTTATAATAAATTTGTATGTTAATATTATTGTCTCGGTTACGGATGTAACCCTCGTTCCCTGAGTAGGGAACGGAAACGTTACATCGAAATGATGACAAAAATGGGGTTCATTTCGTCGCCATTTCGACGTAACTCGAAGTGACTACAAAAGGGAACTATTATTACTAATATAATAATAATTTACTGATGGCTAAAGACAATATTAATAATTGGATATTTTTGCTAATACTTATACTTACTATTATATATTTTACTTATATTATATATTTTTATTATTATTTATACTTTACTTATTATATATTTTTATTATTATTTATACTTATTTTATTTATTTATAATTAAAATATTAAATATTTATTAAATAATAGTTATTTATTATTAAATATTACTTATACTTATTATTATATATTTTTACTGCTGACTAAAAAAAACTTTAATAACAGGATATGTTTGGGAACATGAGCTTTTACAGTCATTAATGAACCATTTCAGGACTTTAAAAGAGACATGCGTGACTGCGTTCCTTAGTCCTTTTAATCTAGACTAGAGGATGATGTCACTTTAAGTGAGAATCAATGATGCTTAGGTCTGTGTTACAAGATGTGTTACTTCTTTAGATGGGATTTTTGTCTCCAGTTACATTTTCATTTGCAAGATTCAAATACAATGAAACCTTTCGGTTTACAAAATCAGGCTAATTAGAAATGAGGATACAGTTGCAAGAAAACTATTGTGTATCTCGCTGAGTGATTAAAAACATTCCTGAACATTTGATGACATGATGATTTATAGCTTTAATCATCCCCAAAATAGCTGGAAGGAGCCCCATGTCCACTTATTTCACAACAACCCCACTTCAAGCATAAGAAAGCATTCCTGTTGACACATTGTAATGCAGCCCATCATACTTTGCTCTTTATTAAATTAAGCAAAACATAAATTGAGGACAATAACAAGGGCAGATTGGCTCTGGGCTTCCATGTTGTTCATCTTGTTTTGCTCACTATTGTATTTGTCGTTCCGTGGCAGCACCGAAACTCTTTTTCTACATCTGCCAAAATCCAAATTTCCCCTCTTCACTTTTCCGGGCTGATCTCATTGGGAGTGATATTAATTGAGATCAAATGCGTTTCCGAACACTCTCTTTGTACAAGTCCACATAGCTGTGGTGCCTGTGAAACCCAATCGGCCTGTTTATCGAGCGATCAGATGAATGTCTCAGGTTTGCCTAAAGAAGAAGGCTTTGTAAAAGATCTGATGGATTGGCCATATCTGTGTGAACCAAAAATGGTTCTTCTATGGCATCACTGTGAAAAAAAAAAAAATACATTGTGGAATATTTTTTTTTTAAGAGTAATAAGTAAAAGACTGCTTGTTTTGTATCAGTTGGAGCTTTTGAGAAAAATAAATGTATAGAGAAAAATGCAATGATTGCACTGCAAAAACGTACGTTTCAATGTTGTAAAAAAAGAAAGAAAAAGATTATTGGAGCCCATTGTATAAGAAAATACAATTTCAGACTTTTTACATTAAAATGTTGTTTAATTCAATGTAACTTGCAATTCTGAGTAAATCCTACATCATTATTTTCCCGAGTGTGAAAAGCAGAAATGTTAAGCTTATAATTTTATAAAATAATTTACATTCTTCTTTTAAAACATGTATAATTTGAGACATATTAGGGTTTTAGGCATTGTTGTCATGGCAACAACTCATTGTAAGGACCTCACTATACCCCCCAGACTTTCATTTTTATGGTATTATACCTTAAAAGTGCTTAACTGGTATTGAACCTGTAAAATTTTCTTAAAGGCATAGCTCACCTGAAAATGAGCATTGACATGTCCAAGGCCTAAAACGAACACACCAAGCCAACGCCAACGAACTAGCGCTGATGAAAGCCGACTTGTCGCCTCTCGTCCGCTCTCGTCGAGGTAAATGAAGCTGCACTTAAACACAACGAGAGAACTGCAGCCAGTTCTGCGCCTGCGTTTAATGAGTCAACTGTTTATTTCTGCAGATATATTAGTCTATATTCGTCATTCAAAAAGGAAAACCGACGCTGCCGGCTGCGTACACATAACGTAAACAAAAGCAGCGTGTGCTTACCGTTTTGAATATCAATCCTGCTAAACACTTTCTTTATTCCTCTCTGCTCATGTTAATATTGAAATATTCACCAAGGAACACTCAGGTAAGAAGACGTAACATAAGAACAGCCTTCTATCTTTACCGTTTTTACTTCTTCACATGTACATTTTCTCGTATTTGAGGAGTGGTTTACGAATGCCCGGCGCCGTTTATTGGGTGC